AAATAAAATAAAATAAAATAAAATAAAATAAAATAAAAAAAAAAATAAATAAAATTAAAATAAAATTTAAGGAAATAAAGTTGAAATAGAGTAAGAAAAGAAAAAGTAAAATAGAATTTAGTGAAAAAATATAAAGATTTAATTATTGATAGAAAAAATAACAAAGCGAAATAAATAAAGCTGCAAGCTTTCACTCATGTAAACAAAACATCGGCTGCCGGCAAAATTGACATGTTTTCACATACGAATGCCACTTGTCGGTCGCTCCGTATGCTTTTGGCACATGAGTTGCGCGCTCTCTCTCCCTCTCCCTCTCCAAGCTTTCGCACACACTCCGGTCATGCGCACGGCACGGCGCCTAGATACATGCCCTCAAAAGTGAAAAATTTCTGGGCGAAATTTTCCAAGCACGAGCTGGCACGAGCTCAGTTTGTCTTTTCGACTGGTGGCGTTTAAACGATAGCTTCGGATAGCAGAACGGCAGCAAGAAGTGAAAAAATCAACGCTCCAAAAAGATGTACTCCATAACCTAGACCCAGTGCAGTGACAGCAAAAATTTTTTGCAAAGAGTATATAGTGAAGAAGCAAAAAAAAAAAAAGATTTTTTTTTCGTTTGTGCAATTCCTAAACTGTTTATGAAAGACAAATTGATGTTCCTTTTTTGAAATATTTTGAAATCTCCTATTCAAATTTCAAGCAAACCCACTCTCCACAAAAAAAAAAAAATGAAGAAATGAGTGAAAGTATGTGACTAAATTATGTAATTCATTAACGCGCAACGGTATTAAAACGAAAGTGAGCCGAGTGGAGCTACATACGACTTAGAGTGGCTCCTCAAAGCAAATCACAGTACATGTGACCGTCCGTACTGCGCTAAGGCGTGTTTGTGTGCACACATGTATGTATGTATGTGCAGAAAATAAATTTAATATAATAAATGTAAAATTCGCTATTCTCCAACCAGGCTGTCTGACTGTATGCATGCACACGCAAATGAAAAGAAATGACACAACTCAAATGAACTCGCTGCTGGGAAAAGGAAAAATCAATAAACTCACAAATAACGGTACTTGAAATAGAAGTATATTCAAATATCATCACATTTTCGTATCCTACTTTTTCGAGTCGAGTCGAGTCTACATGTCTACATGGCATTGCCTATGTGTGTATGTATGCGTGTGTATGTATGTATGTATGTATGTATTTATCCAAGGATGTAATATGCCTATGTCTATGTAAATGTGCGTGCGTGCTGAAGTCAGTTTCCCGTATACATATTGGTGGGATAACAGGAAGTAAGCAGAAAACTGTGAAATGAAGTTGCCGACCGCATGGGCAAGGCGAAGTACAGAGAACAAAGTACGAACCAGCTGACCGAACCGTGTTAACGAGCAAAACGAGCGTAAAGAGCGCACGAAGTATTGGGAAGTCACAGCTGTAGAGTTCGCCTTGACAGGAATGGTCTAACTCCGTTGGAGAAATTATAAAAAATGAAATTCTAGTGTAACGGTACAGCTAGATGAGCTCGCGTGATAGTACATACGTATGTACATATGTATATATGCATATATTTGCAAATTAAAAAAAAAAAGAAGTTAAATAAGAAAATAAACTTAAAATCTTGCCTAAACGCGCCTGGCGTACTAATGAGTGTTATATATATATGTAAATACTTATGTGTGTTTGTGTGCATGTATATATTACTACAGACTTTTGCAAACAGTCGGGCACGCATTCACATGTCGCTTTCTATTTATTATAACAATTTAAGTGAATTTTTTCAGCCTTATTTTCTATGTAAATATGTGCGCGTACGTGACTGCGTGTAAAGAAAGCTTCGTCTCTTCGCGTAGATAAGCCTCTAATAGTGAAAAGGATATTCTAAAATATATGTATACATGTACATACATACATATTATTTTGTACAAGCGAAAGTGGGACTTAACAGTGTTATTTATTTCGTACTACTTATGTATGTATGTATGTACGTACATATATACAATATAAATATATGTATGTACTTTTGAAAATATATAGCCAGCGCGCCGATAAACGCTTACTCCGTGCTATAAAATATGTTAAATAAAAAACATGTTTCGTGATTTACAAACGCGTAGCAATTTATAAGCGAACAAAAAGAAAAAAGAAAGCAGCTCGAGATTTCATTTTGCAGCCCGAAAAGGAAACATAGATTGACTGGTGCCAGCATCTAGCAGTAAATGTATGTAAGTGTGTGAAGGACTAAATGAAGGCATTTTTTAATTAAAAAATTAAGTGAAAGTAATTTTGAAAAAAAGTAAAATGAAAAAAAAGACGAAAAATATTTAAACAAAAAATAATAAAAAAAAATATAATAAAAAAATTGAAATAAAATATATTTTTTTTATTAAAAAAAAAATAAATATAATAAATGAAAAGAAAAACATTTTTCTAAATAACGAATAGCTGAATATGAATGAAATTAGATGTTTTATTTAAATATAATTGAGAATAATTTATTATGTATTTAATAAAAAAAAAAATTATATTGCTTTAACCTAAATACGTCTTTCTTGCGGGCATAAATTTTATGACAAGATAATTAAAAAAAAGTAATAATAAAATCACCGTCTCTCTACTTAGAAAAACACTGCGCCCTAAAGTAGGCCACAACACTATTTTACGGTACAAAATCTTTGACGAGAAAAGTTAAAAAAAAAAGAATGAAGGTTAAAAATAATTGATTTAACTTTTTTTAATTAGCTTAAATTTAAAATAAATATCTATATTCATAAAAACTAAAAAAAAAAAACATAAATAAAAAGTAATACAAATATTTTGTTTTAGATAAAAAATAATATTTCTGATAATTTTAACGCAAATAGATATTCTAGAGGTCACACTATTTAATTTTAACAAAATATTTTTTATTTTTTTCGTAAACATTCGTATTCCACGCGCACTCATAAAATTCATCACTTCTCTATTGTGACAAAAAAGTGCCTGAAAGTAGGCTACAACAATTTTTTTTTTTGATTGCAATAAATTCTCGCGTAATTCTTACGCACTTCCAGCGCATTAAGTTTCAATATTTATGGCCAGGTTTTAAGCGCAGTAATAGTTACTAAACGAAAAAATAATTTATGAAAAATCCTAAAAATTAATAACAAAATCAGAAAAACAGTTTGACAATAATTTTCATTAAAAATATTTATTTTTTTAAATAAAAAGCAAATTTGATCATTTTTTTCTGTAAGCCCTTCAAGTCAAATATTATAATAATAATAAAAACCGTACGCTACACAATTTTTAAAATATCAAAAACTAATGAAAAAAATATAAATACAATTTCAAAATAAATTTCATATAAAAATATTAGAAATAATTTTTTTTATATAAAAATAAATAAATAAATTTTAATAATTTTTCAATTCTAATACTACAATAATTATAACAAAAACACAATTTTTACAAATTTAATAACTAACAGTAAAAAACGGAATTTAAAATGATAACAGGTTAAAAATAATTTTTATAAAAATTGCGTTTAAAATTATTTTTACAAATAATAAAAGCTAAAATTATTTTTATAAAATAAAAAGGTGAATTTATTTTATTTTATCACCGTAAAACCCTTTGATTCAAATAATACAATAAAAACTTCAAAATGCAGGTGTTCAAACAAGATATACAACAATAACAATACAATAATAAAAAATTTATAAAAAAGCCAAAAATTAATAAAAACAATTTAAACTATAAATTCTTAAAAAATAATTAACAAAATAGTTTTCACATAAGGAAAAAAATTTATAGAAAAATAATGAATTTAAAAAAAATTAAATTAATTTTCTAATTTACTTGAATTTATTTATTCTTCATTATATTTTTAATTTTTTTCTCAAATTATTTTTAGAGAGATAATTAATATTGTACAAAAATTTATTTAAATTATTTACTTTATTTTATATTAAATATTTTTTATTAAATAAATTTTTATATGAAAATAAAAAAAATAACTAAATAAAAATATACATTTGTCATATAAAACGATTTTTTTTAATTGTTTTTTCTTAGAAATGTGATAATTTTTAATAATTATTTTTTTTAATCTCAGTATAAATCACATTTTTCTCATAAAATGTAAGAAATTCAAATATTTTTTTTTTAACTTATCCTCTTATATTACATTAAAAATTTGCTCTCAGCTTACGCTATTTTCTTTTCCACCAATAAATAAAAATTAAATTTTAAAAATAAAAATAATAATTAAAAAAAAAAATTATTTTTGAAATATGCGTGTGTGTGTGTGTGTGTGTGTGTAAATTGAGTTTTATTACTTATACGCCATCAGCACCACTAGCACAGAGCGCCAACACAACAACAACAATATTTTTTTTTTCGCATTTCAATACACATGTCGCCAAAATAAAGTAAGCACGTGCCACACCTGGCACTCAGTTGGCAACAACTCGTCGTTATACATGTATACACAGAATACATGTGTATGTATGTATGTATGTATGCAAGTCAGTATACATGCCACGATATTTCCACAGCGTTAATATCAATAAATTCAAGCAGCCAACAGCCAACATTCATCCCAAGCTCTTCCCATTGCTCAACGAGTAAAAACATAATTTGCCACTGTTTTTGTGGTTGTTCTTGTAATGAATGGTGTACGTGTTGGCATGCAGCCACCAACGCTACCACCGCCTGGGCTACTTTATTATACACATTACTAAAACTTTGATTCACTGTTGCATCAACCGTTGGCAAATTCACACATTTTCATATAAAAAAAAAATATATAAAAAGGAAAACATACATACGTACTTGTACATGTGTATGTGCTCTTCTATAAGTGTATTTGTATGTGCAGAAAAAATCTTCGTAATTCACTACAAATAGCAAATGCAATCGAGTATATGTATGCAGTATATGAAAAATGTAGAAAACAGCAGCATACATGCATACAAACATACATATATGCATGTTTACTTACATTCACATAGATATACGTACATAGATTCATGCATATATGTATCCGCATTCAAAAGAGAACGCGCTGTTTTATATCCTGCTTTGAGGGCCAAATTAAATATTAGTACAAAGTCACACACAGCATATACATATATATTGTATATACAAACACATTTAACCATTTTCCGGAGAAATCTATACTAAACAAATACATACATACTTGCAAATAAACACTTTTGCTTCTGCTCACTTTTTCACCACATACAACGCCATCCTTGCTTTCGTTGCTCCACTTACCACTTTCCGTTTTCTGTTTCGCTTATTGATGAGCAGCATCCAGCATCCGCAGCGTTGAAAGGAGAGAGCGTGTGGTAGCAGCAGCAGCATTGGCAGCTGTGGGTTGTCTGGCGTTTGCAAGTAGTCTTTTTTTTTTTTGTTAATTGTGGCTTTTTTGGTCGTCCGACTTGCCATTTACACATCAACCCTTTGAGCTTTTCATTTGCTGGCTGCTTTTCTTGATTTATTTATAAATAATGGTGAACAAACTAATTATTCAGTTGAACAGAAATTAGCTAATATTTGCCTTGCATTCGCCCCGGTGTGAATTAAATCTATTTCTTATTTTATTTTATTTTTTTTATAAACATCTGAATCACCCTGTTTTCGAACCTTATTTCGTTGAATTTAATGTAAATAAATATCAAAAAGTTTCATCGAAATGGTGTCGCAGCGAAAGTTTTTCGAAATTTATCGAACCGTTGCGGTTATGGGGGCATTAAAAAGTTTTGAAATTAATTTTAATTGCCAAAGTTTGGTGGATATTTGTCAATTTGTATGAAATATAATATAATTAATATAACATTTTCATTTTGATACATTAAAAATGCTTAGTCATCACACACAAATTGTATTAGAATAAATCTTTAACTGATTAGTTAAAACTAAGTTACTTTTATAATAAAATTAAAAACAAATATCACACACAACACGTGCCAGCGACTAAGCTTAGCTTAAAGTTGGTTGTGTTTGCGGAAGTTTGGCTTGCGGGAATGGCGCGTTGCCATATATAAATTAATAATGAAAGAAATAGATGTATAAAAAACAAACAGAAAATGCAATAATATGTACTAAAATAAAACAAAATATAATAAATTATAATAAGAAATAAAATCAACGAAAATAAAATAAAATAAAATAAAATAAAATAAAATAAAATAAAATAAAATAAAATAAAATAAAATAAAATAAAATAAAATAAAATAAAATAAAATAAAATAAAATAAAATAAAATAAAATAAAATAAAATAAAATAAAATAAAATAAAATAAAATAAAATAAAATAAAATAAAATAAAATAAAATAAAATAAAATAAAATAAAATAAAATAAAATAAAATAAAATAAAATAAAATAAAATAAAATAAAATAAAATAAAATAAAATAAAATAAAATAAAATAAAATAAAATAAAATAAAATAAAATAAAATAAAATAAAATAAAATAAAATAAAATAAAATAAAATAAAATAAAATAAAATAAAATAAAATAAAATAAAATAAAATAAAATAAAATAAAATAAAATAAAATAAAATAAAATAAAATAAAATAAAATAAAATAAAATAAAATAAAATAAAATAAAATAAAATAAAATAAAATAAAATAAAATAAAATAAAATAAAATAAAATAAAATAAAATAAAATAAAATAAAATAAAATAAAATAAAATAAAATAAAATAAAATAAAATAAAATAAAATAAAATAAAATAAAATAAAATAAAATAAAATAAAATAAAATAAAATAAAATAAAATAAAATAAAATAAAATAAAATAAAATAAAATAAAATAAAATAAAATAAAATAAAATAAAATAAAATAAAATAAAATAAAATAAAATTAAATAAAATTAAATAAAATAAAATAAAAACAAATAAAAACAAATTAAAATAAAATAAAATAAAATGAAAAAAATAAAATAAAATAAAATAAAATTAAATTAAATAAAATAACATAAAATAAAAACAAATTAAAATAAAATAAAGGAAATAAAATGATGTGAATTATAATAACAGCAACAAGTAAAATGAAATAAAACAAAATTAAATATAGATATAATAAAATAAAATGAAAAGAAATGAAGTATAATTAAACAGTTTGCTCTAATCAGTTCCATATATGTATTTTTCTGCGCTCAATACTACCGAGTTGCCTGCTATTGTAGTTTGCGTTAGTTTTCTATGAAATTCAGATTACGCTTGTTTTTG